AAAATATAAAACATAAAACACCCTAATATATACATAATATAAATAGGTAACCCCATAAATTCAATATCCTCGGATAGCCTGGATCTGAGTGCCCAGCGTGTCCAAATAGCACTCAGATACCACGTATACAGCCGAATCGTCACCAGGGTAAAGTTTTTACCGATGGCACATGTGGCATCTGCCCAAAATAGTTTCATGAGAAGAGTGGTAGCGGTCGGTCACTTTCAGGAGTCCCAAACCGAACAAAATACCAAACGGTTCCCCTGGCTCATAGGTAACGATTGTTCCTCATGTCCGTGCATACCTTTTCACCTAATAGCGCTTTCCTGGCTTGTTAAGAATAGAAGAAGGCATTCATATAAATTCACCGGTGTTAAGAGGTCGAGTGTCCGACTTATAGTTCCAGACACTCGCCGACTAAGTCCCACTGCCTGTTTTCGGGAGACGAGATGGCAGTTTTCCAGCACACATGTTGTTCAGTTATAAAAACGGCGGCCACCCAGGGAGAGCACTTAATCTTGTGGTTACTTTGAAGTTTAATGAGCCAGGGGAGTGGTCGGCGTTCGGTAGATCCAACTACCGAATGCAGGAAAAAATTAACTGGGCTTGGGAAACACAGAATTTGTCACAACGTGCTTGCGCAAATCGTAGGACAGAGAGCACTGAAAACATGATCCCTGCATGTTCTGCCCTGTTTGGGCCAGTTTGCTCAATCATCTGTTACAATATAATTGAATACAACTTTAAACAGTTTCCTTAAATGACTTTAAACTTCTTAGCAGAGTTTTCTGATGGAAAATACAATTTCCTTGAGTCTTTTTCATTTCCCAGAGGCGTCTTTAAGTAGCTCTTAAAGACCTCTCATTTTTTTTTTTTTACGTATCATAATCCTTGCTGATGAAGGCACCCCTACAAGTTGCAATTCAGTTACAAATGGAAAGTAAAAAAAAAAAAATAATCATCTAACTTCTAACAAAAACTGAAAATCCTTTATGACCTCAGCATCCCAAGCTTACAAAGGCAATTGCCTTAAACTAGAAACATCTTTCACAGCACTCCACAGCTGTGATAACAACATAAAATTCAGACTTTGTTGGTGGTAAGGTGTCTGGGAAGGGGTCTTTCTGTAACCCGGTTACATCTTACTCATTTAAACTGACCTTCTCCTGTCCCCCTTCCTTTCCTACCACCTCTCCCCCTTCCATTTTCCTCTACTTTTTAAGAATTTGTTCCTTCTTTGTTCCTTCACATCTATCACCACCCGGTAAACAGGTATCATGATCATTGCAACTTCATAGACTACTAAATCAGAGAGTTCCCAATGGTTTAATACAATGAAAATTATTTGAATTGTATTGGTAATAATGCTACTTGTTCATAATTCTTGGCTCGTTTGTCACTCTAAACCTTTGTTTATTTTATGTTATCGGCAATCTATTTACACAATTCTGTAAATATGGATTTTAGATATGATTTACTGACTACAAGATATCAAGTACCTGGAGCCACCTCCGAATGCTATTAGCAGAAACCTACAGAGTTATTCACTAAAGTAAGACTTGTTGGGAAATCAAAGTGAATTCCAATTTAAAAGTACACTCTGGGCACCACAATGTCATCAGAATTAAACTGTTAAGGTGCAAGCAGGTTCCGGGTCCAAGCCCAGAACTCAGCCCGTATGTAGCTCCGCATTCATAAAAGGTACCTCGTACACAAATAGAAATAGCTGGGCAGAGCTGATGGGAGCTGAACTGAAGACTTTGGTGTTACACCATCCAGAAGATAACAAAACAGATAATATAAGAACATTGGGAACAGACAAAAGCTTAAAGAAACGTAATAGCTTGCCTTTCGGTAAATCCTCACTCAGGTGTCAACATTGTGCTCCCTTTTGCCATTAGAGAGTGAACCTATGCCCATGCATATCAGACTGATCTCACCAACAAGGGCAGTTAGAACAGAAATGCCGGCACGTTTTCTCTGCACTAGAGATACAGCGACCCCGAACAATCATTTTGGCATTCTTTTAGGCTTGTTATCGAGGTGTAGTTGATGCAACTCTAGGCACAGTGAGCACAGAGTCCACATCTGGATTACCCTTTTATCTTGGGGAGAGCCAACGTAATGCATTGCAACAAAAAGTTTCTCTAAGCTTTGGTCCGTTTGTCTTCAGCATTCTCAGTTTTTGTTGCCATCCTGAGGGTAGGCCAGCACCCAGAACCTTCTCGCACCAAAACAACTGCATTCCAATAAAGTTACAATGTCATTTGAGCAGGGCTTTCATTGACTTTTTTCTTTGTTAATATTCTGCATGTGTATTACTTCTTGTCCAATAGCCCCATTCTATTATTATAAAATGCTGCAGAAGATGTTAAAGGGACTCTCCAGTGCCAGGAAAACATATCCGTATAAGATAAAAGGGTAATCCAGATGTTGACCCTATTCTCACTGTGCCTACAGAGGTGTCAACTACACCTCAATAACAAGCCTAAAAGAACGCCAACCACCCACCATCCCATGTTGATAAAGGGGTTAAAACCCCTTTAGTGACTTACCTGAATTCAGCTCAGCCCACACTCCTCCCTCGCCGACGTCAGTGGGCGGGGGAGACCTGATGCGCATGCGCGTGCATTAGACCTCCCCATAGGATCATTTCCTATGGCTATTCCGATGACACTGGAGGTCCTCATGCACAGCATGAGGACATCCAGCGTCGTTTAAAATACTTTTTGTGTTCTAAGAACACGGAAGTCCCTCTAGTGGCTGATAGACAGCCACTAGAGGAGGACTTAACCCTGCAAGGTAATTATTGCAGTTTATAAAAACTGCAATAATTACACTTGCAAGGTTAAGGGTGGGCAGAAGTGGTCTTGGTGCTTGGAGTGTCCCTTTAAGGCTTTATACATGCTTATAATAATAAATAATAATAATTTGTTTTGGTGCCGGGAGTGTCCCATAAATGACAAAATAGCACTGGAACCACTTCTGACTTGAAGAATTTTTCCAATTTGGCTATTGAGCCATACATTTAAAATTCCCTTTGAATTCCCCCAAAATTCTCATTTTGGTGAATAACCCTGTTAGAATTTTTTGTTAGCATTGAGCATTAGAATCTTGTGTTAGCCCAAAATCAGGTGTGTTTGTGGTCTTGTTTAAATCAACTGTGTTGATGTGTTACATTTACGAATTCTGAATCTGGCTGCGTAAGTATGTAAAATAATAGGATAAAATATTTCTCATAAAAAATATTACTTTCTTTTGATATACATGACATGAATGCTGATCTGGCTCTGACTTTGATGGATTCATTCCATTGCTTTTCACTGTCTTTGCTGGTTATTGGCAAAACATTGTCAAATATAGAAGAAACCTAAATGGTACTATGAAGTTATTACCCAACATGGGCAGAATAATAAATCGTATTTATGGCTTTGTTTTCCTCCACTTTGCAAAAGTTCCTGAGATATTTTTAGCGATCTCTGAAAACTGCTGAATGTCATGCATCACATTTCACTCTTTATGGTGCATTTTGATGATGCAACTGATTTCATTACGGTGTAATTAAATTTAATTAATTTTAGATTTTTAACCGTTTGGATACTTTAAAGGGTCTAGGTAACTAGATATAAACTTACAAGTAGGTTTTGGATTTAACAAAGGAGGGGTACAATCATAAAAGAGCATTTTACAATAAATAAAAAAAAAAAAACAATAAAAGAGGAAAGAATTTGAACTGAGAAGAAGGGAATGTGAGAGCAACATGAGAAAACAGTTTTCATAAAAAGATTTACAACTTCATTAAAGGGGAAGCGTCATGTTTATAGAAAAAACACCAGAGTATTTTATCACGTATATAGTCACATTACCCTGATATATATATACAAGGAGAATTCTTAATGCAAGCAGGTGCTATTTTGAGTGCAAAGTGCTAATAGATTAGAGAAGGGGGCCTCAAACTTCGGCCCCCCAGATATTGCTGAACTACAACTCCCATGATTCTTTGAATTACATAGATAGGCAGAGAATCATGGGAGTTGTAGTTCAGCAACATCTGTGGGGCTGGAGTTTGAGGACCCCTGGTTTAGAGTTTCTACGTTGATTTTTATGGATGGTGATAGCTTTTTTTTTGTTTCCCAAAGAAGAGTGCCTGTTTTAGTTTTTTGTAAATATCTAGTAGTTTCCTAAATATATTGCTATTGTTCCCTTAAAATATAGGCACACATGGGGGCGGGGCCTGACAGCCAAGATGGACGGACGTGCTCCATGAGGGCTCTAATGCCAACGAGCACAAAAATGTTTAGCCTGAACAATCCAACCATGCTAGCAGCACAAAAACCGATACAGGGCCACACAGGGAACAGAATGATATCTGTCCCGCATCGACACACAAAACAAGCACCCATACTGGCCACGCAGCCTACATTGGAGCAGGGCCAGAGGCCTGGGGGAGACGGCCGATCCCCCGACATGGGACCTGCCCATAAGACTCACTCGGATGCTGCCCCGCTACCCCCCTCTGGACCGGCAGGGGATATCCCGGTCCTCGCTGGGGACGACTACCCCTACAACGCGGCTCAACCAAGCAACCAAACCCGCAAACGCACGGGACTACAGGGGCCCACGCAAGATGGCGGCACAAAACAACCTCATCAGACCACCCAAGCACACCCTAGAATTCTTTAGCCAGCTACGTACTAGCCTCTGGACATTGCTCTACACAAAGGGTCAGCACTTCAAGCTGGCGATGCAAAATGTGGCGACATGGATCCGCCCGGCTACCCGACGCCGCCTGAGCAGAGGCCCACCCCGAGCCCCCAGAGCAGCCTCCAGACAGTGCACACCTCAGAGTTCAAAATGGTGCTGAACGGCGACGTGCCTCACAGACTCCGGCACCCACCGGCACACATACCAGCGAGAGACCAAGCCTGCACGATTCACATACCGCTCAGCAACACTGGAATCCTCCAGCCAAAGAAGCACAACCTTGCACTCATACGACCGAATAGACGGCCCAAGGCTTACCGGAATGCAACACAGCTTCCAAGTGGTGAAGGACGCAGACAGAGGGCCTCTCCGGGACACACAGGCGACGGACTTTTGTTGCAGCACCAACTCCGCAAGCGCCCAAGGCCCACCTGTCAAGCCTCCAGAGCCGGCATCGGCTGAATGGGATGACATGCACCAGAGTTGGACTATGCTCCTGCAGGCCCAAAAACAGAGACGACACATGGACCTGCCGTACAGGTCATAATGAACGCTATGCCCTCTTGTATACTGCTGCCGGGACTAGCCACCGCATTGTACATGGTTTGAACACTTTATTGAACACCTGCTCATTAGCCATGCTCCTCTTTCCGCTAAGTTAGCATGCTACTGATACTTACATGATGCACTAGTATATTAAGATTAATAGTATACTATATCGGTTAAACCATGAACGCCACTCATTAGGCACACACCCAGACAACCAGCCTACAGTTACTAGCATGGTAAAACCTCTGTCTGCTTGTTAACCCATGAGTATACTCCTTCTAGGGCCTGTTAAGCCTTAAGTATTAGCTTTTAAATGTAACCCATATTGATGAATATGTTAGACAGAGTTCGAGTAATGAGGCACATCAAGTCAGTGAACTCACTTATCGAAGAAACTATCTGTATAATCAACCAACATTAACCACGCCTAATCTACTTTATCTTGTCTTACAAAATATGTCTAAAACCATTATGTCACATAAAAAAAAAAAAGTGCTGTTTATCTATGCCACAAAGTTTGACTTTGAGAAGCCTGTACTCACTGTTGTGGCGCTACAGGTCCCTATGTTATGTAACCATATGCACATGAAAAATAAAGAATAATATATATATATATATATATATATATATATATATAGGCACACAGACCACTTTAGCTCATTGAAGTGGTCTCGGTGCAGTGTCCCAGATCCCTTAACCCTTGCAGTTTTTAATAGACTGCAATAATTATCTTAGAGGATTAACTCCACCTCTAGTAGCTGTCTACCAGAGGCAGTCTGCCAGAGGGACTTTCTGGTCATTTTGGCCACCTGTTTGAGGACATCCCGCGTCACTGAAACCCCATTGGAAAGCATTGTATAATGCTTTCCTGGGGGTGAAGTACTAATGCGAGGGTGGCCATTGCCGCACATGCACATTAGGTCTCCCCTGCTGGATGATGGAGGGAACAGAGGCGGGTTCTTTACAAAAAGCTATTTTTTTTTACTATAAAGAAATTTCTTTGACATTTCAATTCAGTCAAAAGATACGCATGCGACAAAGTAGGAAGTACTGTATTTCATGTACTGTATTTCATGTAAGTGCAGATCTTTAGTAATATATAGCAATGGGATGGGGTTCCACCGCCACATTCTGTTAATTACCATGAACTGTCATTGTCAATAGCTGATGGGAACAAGTATCATTTTGTATGATGTGCAAAAGAAGTCTAAGGCATGTTTTTGTGCAAGCTCAAAATTATCTATAGAAGATCCCACACAATCTCCCATAAATCATGTTTTCTACTCTTACACAAGCAGAAGAGTATAATAGTGAGGGTTGAGGGTAGCTACAAGCAGGTAAAGCTTAACTTTATATTTTTTATCTCCTGCTCATGTATTCCTGACCCTATAGTGTTTAACCTACCATTTAGGTGGCTTGCCCCCCACTTCGCCTCCTTATAAGTTGATAAAACTCACCTTATTTCCAGCGCCGCGTGGGTATGCCAGTGCTGGATCTGCACCCTTGGTGACATCATCAGAATTGCCGTTTTTAGTTAATTCAATGCTTTCCTATGAGGAAAGCATTGGATTGGCTAAAATCGGCAAGGGGCGGGGACAAACCCCATTTTGGCCAATCAGCACCTCCTCATAGAGATGCATTGAATCAATGCATCTCTATGAGGAAAATTCAGTGTCCCCATGCAGAGCGTGGAGACGCTGAACGGTACTGCTGCCTACTGTGCAGCACTGAGCAAGGAAGCCCCTCCAGTGGCCATTTGAGGAAAATTCTCTGAAAAGGCAGTGTTTGCATGAAAATGCCTGCATATAATGATTATACTCACCAGAACAACTACATTAGGCTGTAGTTGTTCTGGTGACTATAGTGTCCCTGTAATTACTTACAGAAAGCTACTTCATTGTCTAGCAAGTTTTTACAGAGCAGGAGATAAGAGACTCTACATTAAACAGAATTAGCAATAAAGGAAGTGTAAACATTAGGTGACTATTTACAGGAAGTATTTAGGAAGGCTGTGTAAGTCATAGCAGTGAGGTGTGACTAGGGCTGCATCAACAAAGTGATTTAACTCTTAAATTGCAGGGAATTGAGAAGTGAGAATGCAGGGGCACAATCTATACACCAAAATTGCTTTATTAAATTAAAGTTGTTTTGGTGAATATAGTGTCATTTTAAGAGCCTCCTTTACCTATTTTTGTAAATAATGTAAAAATCCCACATGAGACATTACTGCTCTAAATGTATTTTACATGTTCAGTAGTTAATATATCATAGTCCAGTTTCAGTTTCAAGATCAAAATAAATACAGTGGTATGGATTTCAAACTCCACAAACACATAATTGTTATCTAACGATAATAAGCAAGCTTCGAGGGATATGCATCACTTTGAGACAACTGTCTCATTCAAAAGCTTCAGCTTTGAATGAGGCCATTGGTTCACTCTATAGACTGAAAAAGCAGGTAAATAGGATTTTCTTTCATATTTACTTGTTTCTTTTTCATATGCTTTTTACACCCACTCCAAAGGGAACACTGATCTAACCAATCACTGTCCTATCCCTAGGAATGCTGGAAAATTGCATTGGACATCCCTTACAGATTTACACTTGAGCAGTTAGAAGATCACTTCACATTGCACCATCCTGACAGGGGGAGAAGAGAGGCAGTCTGATCAGTGTGATAATGCAGAGCAGGCTCCAGTGTCTGGTTTCTCTGTCCTGCTGCTGTATCTGACAATAGTGGAGCTGGGTGGGTAACTGGGCAAGGAAGCTGATTCAATGTCCCTATCTGGGGAGCTCAACAATGAAATCTGATCGAGTTTATAGTACGTTTATACATGTTTATTACATACTCACCAAAGTTCATCTTGCTTTATTTTGGTTTGTGCATTTTTTTAAAACTGTTTGTTACTGGTTTAAAAAAAAATATTGTCAAGTGATGCTTGTCCCTTTAATATTAAAAACATAGCACCTACACACTTCTTTCCATGTAAGGAAACTTTGTCATTAAAATCAATGTTTCTATGTTTAGATTGTACTAATAATTATACTATAATTAATTAACAGATAAAATGTGTATCTTGTAATACCTTTTTTATTGGACTAACAATTTTTTAATGACACGCTTTCAGGAGAACCTCCCTTTCTCAAGTCTAAAGCATTTCTAAGGTTCTCCCGAAAGCTTGTTATTAAAAATGTCTGTTAGTCCAATAAAAAACGGTATTACAAGATACAAATTTTATGTGTTTTTTAAATCTACATCACTGGACTCATAAGGCTGCAATCTCTACTATAATTAATTAACAAAGACCTACATCTTAATAAAAAGATAATATACAAACTGCAAAAAAGATTCTTAGTGTTGACATTGATCTAAAAGACACAACAAGAAAAAAAAATAATGTGATCTTGCCCAGGCAAAACCCACACCTATAAAAATATGCAACTCACATGTTGCACTGGCTCAGGTTGTTCTGATATGTGGGTATATTCCAGAAAACCAAACCCATGCACCGAAATCTAGATTCATATTTTGGGATAAAGCTGTCAGTACGTGATATTTATTAAACAAATTGCTTACGTAGTATAAAAACAGGAAAGGACTGGAGTCGTCCTAGATAGGAGAGCAACAAAAATAAGGGAAGGAAGCCCTACCTTTAATAATTCTAAGGATAAATGGATAAAACAGAGGGAGAGACAAAATAGGTCTTAGCGGCAAAACCTACGCTGAGCTGATCCTTTCTGAAGCTCTTGGATCAGCCCCTATTCATTTACTTTTACTTACAATTTTTCTGCTTACATAGTATACTGATAAAACATAAATTAAAGCGTCACGCTAAGCACCACCAAAACGAGGCGTAATTGCAAAGGTTATGATAGACTTAAAACTGTTGTCATTTTTTTTAATTTTCTGCAGGTCTATGACAGATCCTCAGAGCTGTCAATCAGACAGTCTCTAAACTTTGTGTAAACTGATGGCAGATGGGGTAACGCTATTAACTGTTTACACAACAATTAAACAGTTTAAATAGTTTCACTCATTTTACAAGTCATGAATGGAACTGCTCTTTGGAGAACACACTGCAACAAACTAGAATGAGATCTTCAATTGAAGGATTCATCCTGATAAAGAGGGATCAGTAGGTAGGGATCAGCATGTAGAAGCCGGCAGACCCACTGATAGCACAACTTTTTTAAAAGTATTTTCTGATAGACAGCCACTAGAGGAGCAGTTAACCCTAGCAGGTAATTATTGCAGCTTACTCTAGGGTTAAGAGTGATGGGAGTTTGCACCCACTATTTTTTTGATTGACAAATTTTTATTTTATTTTTTCATTGTCAGTAAATATAGACATAGGTAATGTAGGGATACAGAAGAAAAAGGGAGTAGGGACATTTAACATCCTGTTTGTCAGACCCCAAATTAACTATGTACATCGTCAGATCTAGTCATGCAGACAACTAGTACAATTAAACAGTTTACCATTATATTCATATATGTTAATTCAGTTCCTGCATACGGAAGATATCTTGTGTGCCCTTTTGATTACATTTATACGTGTAGTATTGGTGGTGACAACAAAGTTGCCCGGTAAGTCTGCTCTTGCAAATAGGGAGTTTGGGGTACTGGTTATATGCAAGAGAAGAGAAAAAAAAAGAGAGGGGGAGAATAAACTATTTGGGGAGGGGGGTGGAGGAAAAACAAGGGGGAGAGGGGCACCCACTATTTTAATGAGCTGAAGTGGTCTGCGTGCCTACAGTGTCCCTTTAAAATAGACGGTCGTTTTACTCCACAGTCTCTTTTTAAATCCTATGCAAGAGCTAAATGGGATGAATTCTCAGGACAATTCCATCCACTAATGACAGCTAGCTCATGCCAGTAAAATGCATAATTCAAAGTATGTCTTGCCACAAATGAGTTGATATTTTTTTAACTTACATGGTGCAATTTCCGAGAAACAGGTTTATGAATAACAGAAATATTTGTTGGTTTTTTTTGTTTTTTTTTTACTGGAAACATCTTACTAAATAGGTTGGCATTTCTGAGTTTCATTCCTTGCACTGCAAGATCGAACAAGTGTAATGTGCTCACAAATCAACTGTATTGAGTCACTCATTTAAAAGTTTATACATGTATAATTAATTAGTTGTGTACCGTATAGGTAACATTTTCTCTGTCTCTGGCATTTTGTTTTGTTTTTTACCACCCACTCGATTTCTTTTTTTCAACTTTAGTTTGCATTTATTCAAAATCATTACTTTATCTCTTAAAGAAATACTTCTTTTACCAACACAACTGTAATTGATTTTATCGGTCCAGGTACTATAACTTGGTATGGTTATAATGCCTATAGCAGGGCATGGAATGGTTAAAATGCCTATAGCAGGGTTCACATGTATTTCATTTTTTATTGCATCCTGTATCTGCACATTCCCCTACACACTTTGTCAATATTGATATTAAAATATTAAGAGGCAGTAAAAGTTAAATGTGGAATCCGGGAACAAAACAAACATTTACAATTGTATGGGCTCCTTTTTTGTTTTCAGTACATCTTAAGCGCATATCTGTCACATCATCCAAAATGACGAGCAGTCAGTGGTTAGTTGTCAGATGAAAACATGTCAAATAAGTACGTGTTTATCACATTATGTAGTGCAATGTGGATTTATTTTCTTATTTTAATAATAACCGCAGTTCCAGGCCATAGCTCTTGATCAGCACTAATATAAAAGCTGAAATGGCGCATTGTTAAAATAGCATAATAATATTATTATTATTATTATTATTAGCATTTATATAGTGCCGACATTTCCACGGCACTTCACAGTTATACACTGGGGTTATTCAACAACTAGTTGACATCCACAAACAATGTTAAAAGACAAAACAGGTGATGAAGGTTGTTGACACTTAACATGATTATTTTGATATGAGTCAATCCAGAATAAAGAAAGCAATATTAAAACCAGTAGCTCCTTACAAAAATCAACATGCGCTTACATAGTCTGTCATTATTTCCATCATCAAGCCTTCTTATTAAACTACTATTTGTATTAAAGAACCATACTGGTTATAAAAGGCCTTCTCTTTTAATACTTTAACTGAAATGTAAACACAGCTTCTTTGCTGCTAGTGAAAAAACCTAAGGGAAAAAAAAATCGGATCAAGATCTCTTTTAGTTAACATGAATTCCTTTTTAATGAGAACGCCTTGGGAGAATAAACCTGTTGGACTTGTTTTCCCAGGATAACAATACCAAACATCTCGAACGAAGGTCAAGGTCTGTCCCATTATTTATGTTACTTCAGCCCTTTATATGTATTGTGTCCTTAGCGTGCTAGAATTATTGCCTGCCAGAACTGAAGATAGAGTTAGTTGAGCAGATGTTTTAAACGAAATAAAGGTTATTTACTCTGCAGCAGAAAATCTGGACTTCAACATTTGGCTCGATTTATGAAATACGGTTGAATAGAAGCTGATTTGAGGAAGAAAATAAAGAACAAATTAATTTGAAACAAATCAAATTAACGTGTAATAAGGGCATATAAACTATGTAATAATAAATACATACATAACCAATGAGACAGCATACTCTTCCACTTCTTTCTCTATCCCATCATGAGTCTAAGATAGCATACACCCATTTCTAAATATAGTATTAACTTGGCAGTACCCTATTCCTCTACCTTATGATTGGCAATGTCAGAGTTAATACTAATTTGATGGGTTTATCCACTCCTTCATCATCCCATTGGTCCTTGACATGTGAGTTATCTATTAAATATATATGCGCCATCAGGACCTGCCAGTAACCAGGAGGCAACATCAAACTCTTTTACCTTCTTCCATATGGAAATTGTTAGATATTGATGTTAGCCTGCCTACCTCTCCTCTGCATGCAATAGGAGACATTCATGAAAAGCTGAAGGACTGACACCAACTGCACAATCACTGTCTACTCTTTTCTGCTTAATCTGCTCCACAACGTGTTGGATGCCTTAGTGGCTCCAAAATCCTTTCCAACACCTACATAGTGGAGTTCTACCTAATATCAACATCTTACTTATGATGGTTCTGGGGATCTGGGGAAGACCTGCGTTTGGTTGTTCCTGTTGTTCCTGTATGGACCTGGCTAACCTTCTCACTGGTGCTAAGCTATTGTTCTACAATGTTTAAGAACTCCCTTCTGCTATAGGAACCTTTACAACCAGCGTAAGTATATTAACAGAACAGCCCACATATCCAGGGTCACTGTCACAGAATGCCGTCGCCATATCGGATGCTCCGTCTGTTATAACTAAGTCTATTTCCACCTTTGTGTCTGCTTTGCTTTCTTATCCATTGTGTCTCCATCTTTCAAGTACAAAATATAATGTTTTGAGAAGTGTGCTGTTCATCCATCATCTTGGTATAGAGGAGGAATGATCACTACCCCTGCTTACCTACTGGCCCGCTATTAAGTTCTCATGCCATCACCAGAGCCAGCTACCCCTGCACCACCACTATTCACATCCTGGTCAGACACATTGGACTCCCACTAATATGCTACCAGGGGGAAAAAATAGTGGGTGGGCTGGGCCGGGGGGCAAGGAGGCAATTGCCCCCCAGGCCGCCCTAAATCATTTTAAAACCGTTCGCTGCAGGGCCGATCCTAATGCTGCAGCCGCCTGAGCGCTCTGTAAAGAGCCTCATGCGGCTGCAGCGCTGCTTCTCTCTCATCACCTACCCTTCCCTGTAGCAT